TAAATATTCTTAAAATTACTAACTATTATATCCACAGTTCTTACATCTAAAATTTTGTGGTACTTGAATGTGGTTTTGAAACAAATTTATCTATTTTGACCTACCCCCAGCCAGGGAAGGTTTTCCTCATACATATATATATATAAAGTTGCATCTTCTAGGCAGTATTTTCTCTCATTTTTGTGCTCCTCCTGAGCAAAATTGAATGGGATTTTCAACTCAGATGTCACATTACTCCACATTTGAATCTGATGGTGTTGAAGATTTCCAGTACCAAAACTCCCTCCAAAAACTAAACCACAAGTGCAACAAAATTCCCCTCAAAAAACACCCAAACTCCCCCTTTAGAGCACAGGACATTCCAGCTAAGCATTCTAGGCTATCCCAAGGTTAGCAGCACTTCATTTTAAACCTTCAGATTAAGACAGCAAGAATCAAGTGACAACCCAAAATCCTGGAAGAGTTTTTACCTATTTGCTGCCATAATTATTCTGTGGGCACTTAACAAAGAGCTCTGACAATGTTGGGTTTTAATTTGCATTGACCAAGATGGATTTCCTTCAGTAGGCTGAGCAGTAACAGCGTTTGGCTATGGCTGGTGTAATGCTTTGCAGACCTTTGGGTTAGAGATCTGCAAAGGATTACAGCAGCCATAGCCAAACTCACCACTTAATAGCTTAGATGGCAAAACTCATGGTGTTGTAAGACATTGCCTTCCAAAGTTATTTCTTCCTAAGCATTCAGGGATGAGAAGAGGAGGCAGGAGTCAACAGCAAACAGTTCTCCAGAAACAACTAGGCATGAAAGGGAGGAGGTTTAGGTGAGATACTGGGGAGAAATTCCTCTCTCTGAGGGTGCTGAGGCACTGGCACAGGTTGCCCAGAGAAGCTGTGGCTGTTCCATCCCAGGCTGGATGCGACTTGGAGCACCCTGGGCTGGTGGAAGGTGTCCCTGCCCATGGCAGGGGGTGGAACTGGATGCTCTTTAAGGTTCTTCTAACCCGAAAAGTGTTGTTTCATTCTTCATGAAGAGTGTTAAGGTTGCTGTCAAAGACCTTTCAATGCCAAAGGAATTTTGCTCTCCCTGTCTCCTTTCACAGCAGAATTTTCGGATAGAATATGCTGGTCATGTTCTGATACTCCATAATTCCAGTTCCAGCACTATCACAACTGAAGTAGTGTGCACAGCACAATTGACCAACACCCCTAGTTTATAGCACTGGAGGCTGGATCATGTCAGCATTGGAATTAGCACATTATGCCACTCAGACTCCTTAGCTTTGGGAAAACGGACCCCACTCCCAAATGTGAAGGAATGATCCTGGAATACTGCTGCTGGCTGCCAAGAGCAACAACTGGGAGTTCTCTCAGAAGTGAACAGGATCTTGTTTCTCAACCACTGTAAGAGTTGCAGCAAAACAGCTTAATGAGTAGGTCACAACTTGCTTTTATCAAGCAGTTTGGTAACCTTGTTTAAAATGCAGATCTTTATGTGTCAGACAACATTGGATAACTCAGATTAAAGCTCTTCCCAGAGGATCAGCTTCTTTGCCTAATTTTGGAGAAAACTGCAGTAGTGAGGCAGCCTCAGAATATGAAACCAGAGGTAGAACCTGCTGCTGATGTCACCACTACTGTCAGCCCTCACATCTTTGTGGGCATCCCTTGGCATCCTCAGGGGCTTCAGCACTGCAGGCACAGGTAGCCCAGGGACTCCTGGCTAGTGTTAGCCTTCACCCTGCACTGACCTCAGTCTCAACTGAGTCTTGATTTTAAATGGTTAATAATGATGAGCCATTCTGGTTTTCCAAGGCTTTTACAGTTTGCTTCCTTTTAAAGTTTTTGCTCTTAGGCATAATAGAAATTTAAGTTCAGAAAGTATCTTCATCACAGCACTGAAATAGTTCCCCTGATGCACAAAGAGATTCCAAATTCCTGGAAGTTACTCCTTGTACTTTTCACCAGAGGAAATCACTTTCAGATGAGAGTGGCTCTTGCCCTCTTTATATAACCTTGTAGCCTACAGTCAACCAAGGCTTCTCCTTTTTAGTCTCCATTGGCTGAGAAATGTCTGCACAGATGAGGCTGAGCTCTCCTAGAAAGTAGCAGTTGTTTTCTGCTATGTGTGTTCACTATACAGAGTCAGTTTGCCACCCGAACTAGTGCTGTCCTTGCATCCCAGTGGAGTCACACTGATATAGGAGACTTCACACACTGCAGGAGCTGAAATGGGGTCTGTAATTCCTTTTAGAGTTTTTGCACTGAGTGTGGAGACTTTGCAAAGGGCTTGGTGGGTATGGAATCACAGGATGGTTTGAGTTAGAAGGGACCTTAAAAGTCATCTAGTACAAACTCCACTGCTACGGGCAGGGACACCTTCCACTAGCCCAGGTTGCTCCAAACCCCATCCAACCTGGCCTGGAACACTCCCAGGGATGGAGCAGCCACAGCTTCTCTGGGCAACCTGTGCCAGTGCTTCAGCACCCTCACAGCCAAGAATTCCTTCCCAATAGCCCATCCAGTCGTGCCCCCTGGTAGTGGGAAGCAATTCCCTGTGTCCTGTCCCTCCAGGCCCTTGTGAATAGCGCCTCTCCAGCTTTCTTGGAGGCCCCTTCAGGCCCTGGAATGCTGCAGTTAGGTCACCCTGAAGCTCTTCTCCAGGCTGAAGATCTCTGATGCTTTTCCATTCAGTGATTTCTTAACTTCTGTGGACATTTTACTCTATGTCACCAACAGCTTTTGGGGCTGACATCCATTTTGATTGTCTTCAGTAAACAAAGCATTTATTTGCTTTTCTTAGTTGTTTTGCCCATTGCTGCCTCTCCCGAATCCATAAACCAGAGGAAGACAACAACTGAGGCAAACAATTAGAGCTTTCCTGGAGGTCTGTGTGAGCCACGAAGCTGTTAGGTGTGAGAGCTCGTTAGAGCCTGCCCAGGCGTGTTTGCTCCTCAACAAGCTGCTGCCGCCTTAGTTTCACTTTCAGAAGTGCTCTCTGGAGCCTTTCCAGGGCAAGGTTGGGGGTTTTGTAATGCTTAATGCAAAGAATGGATCAGGTAATGAGCACAGTTACAAAGTTTGGAAACACTTAAAAGTGAGTTTTAATAGAATATAGAATTAAGAATGTGTTTGCCCTGTTAACCACTGCCTCGCAAGGAGAGCAGGTACACTTTTCAGTCTCCTTTGGCAATGAAAATATCTTGAAACCTTCTAGTTTCTTAACTATTTTAACTACAGGGATAAGCTAAACAGATTTATCTATTAACTTTCTAATATATATATATTCACTTTATATATTAGCTGTTAATATATTAGCTTTATATATTAACTATTAATATATTAACTTTATATATTAACTTGGTAAATAAAAATGCTAAATTCCACTTAAAACTTATTACTCATTTAATACTTCCCGAATATTTTTAGTCTGGATAAAAAAATAATGTGAGTATTCACATACAGAGAAACCTCACAGCTGCATCATCATCATCTCGCTTAGATGGATGTGGTTTAGACATGGTTAATTATACTTAGCCAAATGATTAAACAATTCATTCACATTCCTTGCTTGTCCAGAATTCCTGTGCTCCTGTTAAATCCAGGGTAGTTTTAACAGGTAATTGTGCTAATTAGCTGTTAAATCCAGGGAATTAGCAGCACTAAATATCAGGGATATATATGCAGTGTAGAAAATGCTCAGTCTTTATGCTCAGCATCTGAATTAAATCTGTCCTGTGAGTGTTTTTTCTTGGATGTAAACAGAGGAAATGCTTTAATGCAAGAAGAAACAAAATAGAGACTTGTGACAATTCCAGAGAAATCGAGGAGGTTGCAGTTCCTCATCCATAAGCTGACAGGCAGTTTTTGGGACAGAAATCCTGCTTTTGTGGCCAGGGAGCAAATATGTACTTGTGGTTTATATAACACAGCAGCAGTTATTAGCAACTGATTGTTTGGCTTTTTGAGGTGTTGGGGTTTTTTTTATGTCTTATCAAACCTGCTGTCACTTTAGGCACAGTGATCACCAGAAAAGAAAAGCTTAGATGCATTTAACATCCAGAATGTGAAGTTAAAAAACCCCTCTGCCTCTGTGTTTTACAGAATGAATTATAGGAGAGACTTGCCTGAGTAAATACCAGTTCTTAATGTTGGAAAATTTGGAAAAATTTGCTTTTTCTGTTCTACTCAGCCAAATATTTACTGGTTGGAAGCAAAGCTGGTGGCACTAGATGTCATTGTGTACTGAGAGTGTGCGGCCAAGTCACTTGGGCCAGAAATGGTGACTGTCCTAAGCACAAAATGTCAATATTTGTGTGTTTTCTTGGCTCATGGTAACATCAGTAAAGCAAACAGACCTGGTCACTGTCTCAGTTTAATCTTTCCTACTTCTTATTTTTTAAAAAAATCAAATTATTGTTACTATTCACCTTAATTTATGTTGTGCATAAAGGGAAATGAAAGGAAGGAAACCTAATGCTTAAGAATCCCCTTTTCCAACAAGGAAGCCTCAGTTAGATGAATTACAATTCCAGCTCATCCATCAGACATGATTTTATGGACCTTCTGGTTTCTAAAGAGAATCCCTCTGGGACTTCAGTCCTTCAGACACTGGGAGCTCCGTGACCAGAGAGCTTGTTTTATTTTCTTCTTCTCTTTTTAGGTTGGGGAAACACATTTTGAATCTTTCGAGAAATGAAGGAATGCTTAGACCTTAAGTTTGGCTTCAGAAGAGACATTTCACCACCTTGGAGGAAATTTACATTCACTTTGCGTTGTTTTCCCAACTATCTATGAAGGTTGGACTTGCTGATCTTGGAGGTCTTTTCCAACCTTTATGACTGCTGAGATTCCTACATGAATTGTTTTGATTACTGCCTTATTTTATTAGTTTAATAATGTCACATACCTTCATTCCATAGATGCTTGTGCTCTTTCAGAATACTCT